TCAGATGGATCCTGGCGGAAAGCAGAAACTACCAGAAAGATGTTTACTGACTATGCGAAGGCATTTGACTGTGCAGATCATAACAAATTATGGATAACATTATGAACAATGGGCGAACCAGAACACTTACTCGTGCTCATGAGGAAACTGTACACAGACCAAGAGACAGCTGTTCCAACAGAAGAAGGAGATACTGTGTGGTATGAAATCAGGAAAGATGTGCATCAGGGTTGTATCCTTTCACCATACTTGTTCAATCTGTATGCTAAGCAAATAATCAGAGAAGTTGAGCTATATGAAGAACTTAGCATCAGGATTAGAGGAAGACTCAATAACGACCTGCCATACGCAGATGATGCAACCTTACTTGCTGAAAGTGAGGAGGACTTGAAGCACTTATTGATGAAGATCAAAGACTACAGCCTTCAGTATGTATTGCAGCTTAACAAAGAAAACAAAAATAGTCACAAGTGGACCAATAAGCAACATCATGATAAATGGCAAAAAGATTGAAGTTGTCAAGGATTTCGTTTCACTTGGATCCACAATCAACGCCCATGGAAGCGACAATCAAAAAATCAGAAGACACATTCATTGGGTAAATATGCCACAAAGACCTCTTTAAAGTGATAAAAGTAAACATGTCACTGTAAGGACTAAGATGCGCCCGACCCAAGCCATGGTATTTTCAACTGCCTAATATGCATGTGAAAGCTGGACAATAAAGAAGACACAAAGAATTGATGCCTTTGAATTATGGTGATCAGTCCCTGGAGAAGGACATCATGCTTGGTTAAGTAGAGGGTCAGCAAAAAAGAGGAAGACCCTCAACGAGATAGACTGACACAGTGGCTGCAACAATGGGCTCTAACATAGCAATGACTGTGAGGATGAAACATGACTGGGCAGTGTTTCTTTCTCCTGTACTTGGGCCACTATGAGTCAGAACTGACTTGACAGCACCTAACAATAACAACATATAGGTGATAAATTACAAACGAAAGTAAATAAACCATCATTATAAATGTCGAGATACTGATTACATCGAAAGGGTAGAGTGAAGACTGTGACTGAAAATCAACTCATGTGAAGCATAGTCAGGAGCGATCTATCTCTATGACATGGATGTTGATTTTATATATTAATTGTACATCTATTATAAATTTTTCTAAATCTCCATTGAAAACACCTCTTAGATTGAGAAATGGAAAGAAACATGTACAATCAGAAAACGGACATAAACAAAATACATACCCCAAAGAATGAAGCTACTAATTCCACATTTTCCTAGTAAAAACAGATACAAAACAGAACAAAACAATTCCTATTCAATATTACCATAAAGGTCGTAGCTGGTACATGCCAAAAAAGTACCAGAAGGAAGAAAAAAAGTAAAAAGAATGTTAAGTGGGGGGGGAAGAGTCCCACTCCATTTTACTTTATAGATTAAATAATTGTTTATGTATTACCATTGCTTATTGCTATCGAGTCGATTCCGATTCGTAGCAACTCTATAGGACAGAGTAGAGCTGCCCCTATAGGGTTTCCAAGGAGCGCCTGGTGGATTTGAACTGCCGATCTTTTGGTTACCAGCCATAGCTCTTAACCACTATGCCACCAGGGTTTCCACTGTATATGTAGAACCTCAAAAGATGATACAGACGATTACAGGACTGAGAGAATTTGGCAAGTGCTCAGATTACGAAGTATCAAAGAAAGGTTTACTTTAAATATCTCACGTACATACACTAGTACTAGACACTGAGAAATTAACTTTAAAAGATAACATGTATTTTACTAAAAATAAAAGGTATCTAAAAGGAGTGTAATTGAAAACTTAAAGATCCTAATGAAAAAAATTATATAAAACATTAAATGACACGCAAATAGACTGAACTAAATGAAGTGTAGAGCATGCTCTTAGAAAACTGTTCTCCCAGATGGATCATTATTTCTAATTCACTTCTATAGAATTCCAAGCAATTTAATTATTTTTTATGACTTCACAAAAGAATACAGTAAAGATGTATTTAGAAATGCAAATGCCCACGAATAGCCAACATGCTCTATGGAAAAAGGCAAGGGGACTTATCCAAACATGTCATATATATAACTATGCTTTCATATATTTACTTGATAAATAAAGCTATATTAGACAATGTAGTATCAGTATAAACCAAAACCAGACCCACTGCCGTGAAGTCAGTTCCTACTCATAGCGGCCCTATAGGATTTCCAAGGCTGTAAATCTTTACAGAAGCAGACTGCCACATCTTTCTCCCACGCAATGGCTGGTGGGTTCAAACCGCCGACTTTTAGTTAGCCACCAACCACTTTAACCACTGCGCCACCAGGACTCCCAATGGAAAAAAAACACTCAGCCCCGGAAAAAGGTCCACCTACCTATATTAAGTTGATTCTGGACACAGCGAGCAAGGCAGGGCAGTGACAGAAAGCACATATACTTCAATATGTGGGGTAGTGGCAACTCAATGGGGTCCCTAAGTGACACAAAGGGTTAAGCGCTCTGCTACTAACTGAAAGGTCGGTGGTTTGAGTCCATCTTTAACCCCTTGCCGTCGAGTCTATTCCGACTCATTGCAACACTATAGGGCAGAGAAGAACTGCCTCACAGGCACCTCTGAAAAAAGGTCTGGTGATCTACTTACAAGAATCCAGCCTCCGAAAACCCTAGAAAGTGCAGTTTTACTCTGAAACACACAGGATCACCATGACTCAGAATCGACTCTATGGCAACTAGTTGTCTTTTTTTTTTAAATCAACTAATTATCTGATTTGAATAATTAATCTATTCTTGTGTACTCTGTATGTAAAAACTCCATTCCAGGTAATTTGTTCTATATATAAAAAAGTAAAATTACAATACTTTCAGAAGTTATAAGCTATGACACTAGTGATAATATTGGTAATAGTCATAAACTTCTACCTCCAGATAGTAACAATCTCCAGGCAGGAGATGAGATCATGGTAGAAGGACATAAAAGCCGACCAAGGCCTATGTATTACCAGCAATTCAGATTACTATTCAAATTTTACAGGAAAAGTTTACACACTCCTTGTTTATGATACAGTTGACAATAGAAACTTTAAAGCATTCTTTCAAAAACCAAAGAAATATAATTTTCATCTATTCTACAAAGTCATGTGAAAATCCCTTCATTTTGATTTTCCTTATCTTACTTCAGAAAGGCTTTTATATCTAAATTATTAATTCCTGAACTTTAGAAATTTACATTTATACTTACTACAACAAGCGTTATAAGACCAAAATAACGGCCACAATCCTAGCGTCCATTCATGGCAATATAGACAAAAACAACAGTCAATCATATGTAGCATTCTAGAGTTTTATAGTAACTTAGATTTAAGCTTTCTACGTATTGTTATGAAAACATCACTGAGATATTTTGTTTATAAACCATATAAATTTCATGCCATCTTCTTTGTAACAAACGAGGGGAAATAACTTCTATTTGCTTGCTTTTACATAAACATTGGCAAGATGCTTCAGAAAGTAATAAAGCTAATTATTTAAAGGAAGTTGGGGGAAGAGGGACGGGCTGGATAAAGACAAGAGTGGGAACAAGTCTTCATGAAGTATACTTTTAAATTCATACTGAGTTTCAAACTGTGAAGGTATTACCTATTGGAAAAACATAACCTGAGTAAACTGTATTGTACTTTTAAACATGATATAAGTCAGAAGAGATACTAAGTGTTTTTACCAGGAATTCATGTTTGTAATAACAAAGTCATGTAAAATTTAATCATTTAGGACCCAACTGTTTATTAAATGGTCTAACCCATTTGTACAAATCACAAAAGTAGGAACTCGAGCTCTCTTTCTAAACACAGTAACCAGGGATATCAGTCAGCACATCCATTTTCTCTCAGCCCGAAGAATGTTTCTAAAATGACTAAAGTATTTAACACATTAGGGGCTTCTAGCATGATTTGTTAAATATAACAGGAATCTTTAAGAACCTTCTCAAGATTTAAGTTTTACATCAGTTAAAATAGGCATTCCTCTGCGTTTGAAAAGTTTATATCCATTAAATTGAAAAATTCTCAGTAGACACACACTAAATGATTTAGAAATTTTCTTCCATGGAAATTGTAAACCCAAAAACTTAAATACACACATCTCATATGTAGAGCGTCTCCAGCAAAAGAGAACAGCTGAATTTAAGATTCTAATCTAAGACTATGGAGAACATCAACAATTACAGGATTAAATCCCAGCTCTAGACACAGGTGGGAGGACGAGGCCCTAGACTGGGGAGTCATGCTTTCCACACACCTGAAAGCCTCAAGGCAAAAGCCTTTCCCACTGGGGGAAAAATATGTCTGGAAACCCCACACAGAACCCAGCTGGAGTCACTGTCCCTAGCTTCATACCTTTGTGACATCAGGAGAGCACCCACATCACCCAGGACCCCATAAATAGTCAGGACCTTCCCCTACGAACTCCCTCGCCCCCACTCCATTGTAACCCATAACACAGTGTGAGGGAGAGCTGTAGTTTTAGAACTGCACAGAAAATGCTCCAGTGCCTGGGGGGAGTCAAGAACACTGCTCAGAGAAATGGGACAAGGATTGCTCTGGAGGGCGGGGCTCAGCCTCTACAGCCGGAGCTGCTCTGTCTTCAGGCTCTGGTCAGGAGACTCTGTCATTCAACACAGAGCACCAAGGCCCAGGGTGGGGACGTTAATGCCCCACGGTGCCAGCTCTGAGAATTACATACGGGAAGGTGACCCCAGACATCCAAATCCTGAAAAGCCACATATGAACAGAGAAAGGACCCAGTGACAGTGGAGCAGGGCCTCAGTGTTCCTCCTAGGGCTCAGTCCCCTGGTCCCCTCTGCCACCTTTCTTCACTGAGGAACCACAGTCCCACAGCACACAGCTGCTCCCCCAGCAATTCATATCCAGCCTCACCCACTTACAGTAAGGATAACCCAGTTTTCCGCAGAACTCACCATTTCCTTTGCCAGCTTCTGGAAGTCTAAGGGAATGTCGTCTCTGAGCCAAAGAAGCCACGTCAGGAAGAAGGATGGGAGAGGAACTAGAGCACTGGGCAGTTTGGAAGCAGATGAATGTTTGGTCCACACACCAGTCTGAGCGGTTGATATCCTTACTTGTGGAAGCCTGTCACATAAGGAAATAGAACTGCTAAAAGCAAAAGTAATATTTAATTTAAAATGCTTGTATTTACATGTTGAAGGCTAATATCAACCTTAATTGGATTTACTCCATTGTGAAAATCGCAATGATATTTAAACATACACATGAGTGGCAGTAAATGAGGAGACAGGAGGGGCACTCTCAGAGGAGGTGACATTTGAGGTGAGACCTGAATTACAGGAATTAGTGAATTCCTACGGTTTAAAAGTTTTCCTCTAATCGGAAGAAATACCTGGTGCAAACGCTGTAAGGCAAGGAAAATCTTGACATCTCTGAAAAAGTGTTTTAAAAATGTGTCAAGAGCTTATCGAACATGAGGGTATTGTAGATTTAACTCAAGAGAGCTACTCATAACCCTGAATGTGGAGGATCTTGCTGGCCCGTAAAATATGTGGATTTTATTCTGTATGTGACTGATACCTTACTTGGTTTACATTGTTGAAATATGTCTCTTGCTGCTGGGTGGAGAGTGTATCTTCCTGTGACAAAAGTAGACGAAAGTTCAGAGGCTGCTTTCACAAGGAAGCTCTCCTCTCAGGGTAGCTTGGACCATTTCCCCTAATCTAGTGAATGGAGGCTGATGCTGCTTACTGGTTGGGAAAGCCAGGTGAGAAGTAGATTTGTTCAGGTGAGACTTTAAAAGCTCTGTCTTGGGCATGTTAGGTTTCAGAGCCTTACAGTTCTTAGTGTGCCAGGTGGACTATGGGAAGGGTTTGGTGTCTGAGTCCACTGGTACCCAAGAGCCCACATCTCAATCTGTAGCTTGTCACCGCCTGGCCACGTAGACTCAAACTGACCTCTGAAACAGGGTCCATTCCCACTTCTGAAGTTTGAAGCTAAAGGAAAGGAAGAACACAGTTCTGGCATGGATTGGGAGAAAAGGCAGTGAAGCCTGTGAAAAATGGAACTAAAAGGGACTGTTTTGTTTTTCTGGGTCTCACAAGTTTTCTTTCTTTGACAGGGTACAGCCTTACTACTTTTCTATCGCTTGTTTCAGTGAAAAATAAATTGGAGCTTTCCTTCTTTGGCAGGTTTCTGCCTTAGACAAGTTCCAGCTTTCATAGGTTTTACTATAATTGGGAATCATCTAAATCATAAGGGTTTAGTATCCAGGATATGTGAAGAACTACCACTCAACAACAAACAAACCATTTTAAAAATGGGCAAAAAATTTAAATAGACGTTTCATCAAGGATGATAAGCAAATGCTCAAAAAACACGTGAAATGATGCTCGATGCCCCTGTCATTAGGGAAACGCAAATCAAAACCACATGAGATACCACCTAATCCCTACCAGAACGACTACTGTCAGAAACAGAAAACAACAAGAGTTGGGAAGAATATGGAGAAACTGTTAGTGGGATTGTAAAATGCTGCAGGCTCTGTGGAAAAGTTTGGCAGTTCTTCAAAATGTTAAACATACAATCACCCTACAACCCAGAAATTTCCATTTCTAGGACGCTGGTGGCACAAATGCTTAAACACTCGGCTGCTAACGAGGTTGGTTGTTGGAACTCACCCGGTGGCTCTGCCGGGGAAGACCTGGCGATCTGTTTCTATAAAGATTACAGCCAAGAAAACCCTATGGCACAGTTCTACTCTGTCACATGGGGTCGCTACGAGTCTAAAACTGCCAGCAGGGCACCTAACAACAACAGTAAATATTCAAGACTTGAAAAAGCAGGGACGCAAACAGGTATTATTACGCCAATACTCACTGTGGCACTATTTATAATAGCCAAAGAGTGGGAAAAAACCTAACTCCTGGGTTAGGTGGTTTTATTACAGGTATCAGGACCCTGTATTTCTCACGCGCTCCCTGTGCCGCTGACGCCGCTGCCCCGAGAAGCACGCGTGGGCGCGGCGAGGGTTCCCACGACCTCACCTTGCGAACGCACCGAGAGAGCCCAGAGGAGTCAGCAGGAAGCGGCCAGGCGGCGGCGGCTCCCCGGCTACAGGGAGTCCCGAGGCTCTGGGAGACCAGGAGTGCGCGGGGAGCGGGCGCAGCGCCCTCAGACCCGGGACAGGAGCTCCGGGTCACCCGCTAGCGGAGCAGACCGACAGGCGACAGGGCCACACGGACCTCGCACCGAAGCCGGTGGGCACGGACCGAAGCTGCCGACCAAGGAAGCTCACTTCCGCTTCCGGTTTCTGGACGCTCGGTGCTAAGGGGACGGCTTCCGAGCGGGAACCCGGAGCCCTCTAACTCGGGACCGTGGGGATCAGTGGTTCCCCCTCGTGTGCGGGATCGGCCCACGGTTTTCCTTATTTCCTCTACAGACAAAAGCCTGGGTTTTCTTAAATGCGTGAATGAACTGAAACGTGGATTTAAGTAATCAAAGATACCCTTGGGGAGCAGAGGAAGTTATTTGCATTGTCAGTGTGGCATTAACTGCTAAATAAGTAATTTGCAAACTAAATGGTTTTAGAGGGATCGCAGAGGAGCCTGTCCTGAAGGTGCCAAGGGGAGCCGGCCCGGAGAGGGCCGAGGGGAGGCCGTTCTCAGGGGCTGAGAGGAGCCTGTCCTGAGGGGGCGGAGGGGAGGCCTGCAAGCTGAGACAGCTCTCCTGCACTGAGGAAGACAGATTTTGCCTACGTGCTTCCTGAACCTTATCCCGAGTTGAATACCCTGTTACTGCCTTAATAAGCCACTTAACTGTAAATACAGTTGGTGAGTTCTGTGAGACTGCGGAGAATCGCCTGCCAAACCTAAAGGAGGTAGGGGAACAGTGCAAAGGGGAGGGAGGGTGACGGTGTCAGAGGTGAACGGTGTCAAAGATGACATAGTACAACAGCTTGGATATGTGGAAATCTGGGATATATTTAACCTCCACCTCAGGAATTGGCTTTGTGCTGATTGTTATATTTGAAGTTATTTTTACAATATTAAAATACTATTTATTCCTCTATTCTGATCTTATTCACTTTATATCTTGACTAATACTCCAGGGTTTAAAAAGCATCACAATTCTATTATAATAAGGATTTTTGTAATTTAAAAAAAAAGCACCGGGACTACAAACTGTCCCATGTTATAAGGGTGAGGCTTCGAGACCTGTTTGTAATGATGCATTATCAGATATGACAACAAAATCAAGAGCAGCAAAGGACAAAATAGATAAACGGGACCTCGTAAAAATTAAATACTTCTGTTCATCAAACGACTTTGTCAGCAAAGTGAAAAGACAACCTACAGATTGGAAGAACATTTTCAGGAACTGCCAGAAATTCAAGCTGGACTCGGAAGAGGACATGGAACAAGGGATATCATTGCTGATGTCAGATGGATCCCGGCTGAAAGCAGAGAATACCAGAAAGATGTTTACCTGTGTTTTATTGATTATGCAAAGGCATTTGACTGTGTGGATCGTAACAAATTATGGATAACATTGCAAAGAATGGAATTCCAGAGCACTTAATTGTGCTCATGAGGAACCTGTACATAGATCAAGAGGCAGTTGTTCGAACAGAACAAGTGGATACTGCATGATTTAAAGTCAGGAAAAGTGTGCATCAGGGTTGTATCGCTTCACCATACTTATTCAATCAGTATGGTGAACAAATAATCCGAGAAGCTCGACTACATGAAGAAAGACACAGCATCAGGATCAGAGGAAGATTCATTAACAACCTCCGATGTGCTGATGATACAACCTTGTTTGCTGAAAGTGAAGAAAACTTGAAGCACTTATTGATAAAGATGAAAGACCACAGCCTTCAGTATGGATTACACGTCAGCATAAGGAAAACAAAAATCCTCACAACTGGACCAATAAGCAACATCATGATAAATGGAAAAAATATTGAAGTTGTCAAGGGTTTCATTTTACTTGGATCCACAATCAACACCCATGGAAGCAGCAGTCAAGAAATCAAACGACGGATTGCATTAGGCAAATCTACTGCAAAAGATCTCTTTAAAGTGTTAAAAAGAAAAGATATCACTTTAAAGACTAAGGTGCACCTGGCCCTAGCTGTGATGTTTTCAGTTGCCTCGTATGCATGTGAAAGCTGGACAATGACTGAGGAAGACCAAAGAAGAATTGATGCCTTTGAATTATGGTGTTGGTGAAGAATATTAAATATACCATGGACTGCCAGAAGAAGAAACAAATCTGTCTTGGAAAAAGTATAGGCAGAATGCTCATTAGAAGCAAGGATGGTGAGACTTCGTCTCATATACTTTGGACATGTTATCAGGAGGGACTAGTCCCTGGAGAAGACATCATGCTTGGTAGAGTAGAAGGTCAGCAAAAAAGAGGAAGCACCTTAACGAGAAGGACTGACACACTGGCTGCATCAATGGGCTCAAGCATAACAATGATTGTGAGGATATCGCAGGACCAGGCAGTGTTTCATTCTGTTGTACATAGGGTCCTATGAGTCGGAACCGACTTGACAGCACCTAACAACAAAAACAGCTTGATGATGGAGTACTGCTGTGCACACACAACTTTATGGTTTGGTGGGTTAGACAACACCCAATTCCTGATGGGTAGCTCAGCTCACATCTAACTGGGAGGACCATGATCACCACTCAGTCTCTAGTAGGGTCCTGGAGGAAGCCAGACACTGTTCTTCAGAAGGAGAAGAGTTCTCTGCAGAGGATGGCACGGCTTGCTCCTTGATCCTAAAGGTCTGTTGTGTGAGCCACCTGCCAAAGCTCCATGGAACATCCCTGTCACAGAAGCATCAAGCACCATCACAACTGGTGGGTCCTGTGGCATAAGTTGCAGAGCAGCTTGCCTGCAGCTGAGAACTGTTGCTGAACCTTCCCTTGTTCTGGGCTCCATTCAAAACTAGTAGTCGTTAGGGTTACTCAGATAATGGGTCAGCATAGCAGGCCCAAATGATGTGCATGATGTCTCCAAAATCCAAAGAGGCCCACTAGTCTTGGTGCCTCTTTCTCAGTGATAGGAGGGAACAGATGCAAAAGCTCGCCCTTCACATTGGAAAGGC